CATTTTGTATGCAGTAAAGCGAGCTGACGTCGGCCCTGTTCTGTTGTGTGCTTCTGTCTTTCTCACCCTCCCACCTGACGACATTCCAACATGTAGAAGAAAGAGAGAGTGAGGGAAAAAAAAAATCATCATATGCAGTACCTGGAATTACAAAAAGTGTGTAAAAAAAAAATACGTCAAAAAAGAAATTCAATGTTTTGCAGTTCTTTTTCTTTTCATTGCCAAATACTTAATGGTGCTTTATATTCTGATTGGGTAGAACTTTCATATGCAAAGCATATTTAAAAATGACCCGAGGGACGCGGAGAAGCCTGCTTGAGTTCAGACTTTTTTGTAAATGGCAATGCGAAATATTTTGTTATCGGCCTTTTCTATTCCTGTTCTGAGAGCTGTTTGTCGTAACTTGAACTTGAACTTTATCTTTTACTATGGGAGTTACTATTTATTACAACCTACGTGCTCTGTTCAAAACAGAGACATGGGGATGGAATTTTTTTTTTCGTTTTTTTTTTTTTTTTCCTTTTGGCTATAATATAATTTTTTTTTCTTTTATAATGATGGCCAACGGTCGTTTTTTTGTAAAACTACAGGTCTTTTGATTTTTTGATGTACTTGTTTGGGGTCTCTGTTTAGTTGTACTGGGAAAACCACTGTCTGTGTTTTCTGGCAGATGTCTGCATAATCCTGTTCACACACCCATTTTGTCCCTTTATCGAAAAACAGTTAATAAAAAAAAAATTAAAGTATAACTGCACATGTCGCACGTATGTTTTTTGAGTGACTCGAATGTGTGTGTGTGTGTGTGTGTGTGTGTGTTAGCTACCTTCACACCTGCTGACGTAAACACATGTGATAACAGTGTATTTGAAGACATCGTTAGGAAACATACAGTTCTTAGGGCGAAGTCCGTCACTGCCGTGTGTGCGTGTGTGTGTGTGCGTGTGTGTGTGTGTCATGTCCACAGTGACCTGTGGAGACTTTTATTTTCAACATACTTTCTCCTTCAACCCACCCTCTCCTCACCCTTTGGCTCTGCACTTCATGGACCTGTTAACCCTTTTTATGTAACGTGTGTGTGTGTTAACGAGTGTGTGTTAATGGTTGTGTGTGTGTGTGTGTCTTGCCCAGGAGGTTGGGAGGGATAAGCAGGTGAATATGCAAATCTTTCAACACAAGTGTCTGTTCTCTTACTGGGTTCAGGTATGTGTGTGTGTGTGTGTGTGTGTTATGGCGTCAAAATTATCCTGAAATTTTGACGCAGAATCGAAGAACATCCAGCCAGACTTCTGAGTGCTAACTTCACCGTAGCTAGCTTTAGCTGCACTGCGATGTAGCCAAATCCCACGTTGTGTTCCTTTTTTTGTCCATTCCGACCTCAAATAATTACGCCATAAAAGAAAAAAAAGCTAACTCACAGTTAGCCTACAAAGTTAGGAAAACAGCAACTGTGTGTGTGTTAACTGGCTAACATCATAGACATTCTAAATCAGGGGTGTCAAACATATGGCCCGCAGGCCAAAACCGGCCCACTGAGGGATTCAATCTGGCCCATTTGATACATTTGGAAAATAAAACAATACACAAAAAAATTAGATTTCATTACATATGAATAAATAATAATAAATATCTCTCATTCTGTGTTAATTATAGGTAATTACTGTATGTGTTGATTGTACTGGTCCGGCCCATTTAGGATGCACGCGGCCCCTGAACTAAAATGAGTTTGACGCCCGTGTCCTAAATAGACGGTGCGAGGGGAAGAAGGAGGAGGAGGAGGAGGGGGAGGAGGGGGAGGAGGAGGAAGTAGCGTCTCCTCCAGGTTGTGGACAGAATGAAGTAAAATGTAGTTTAACTCCAGTCAGTGCAGCTACTCCCTCACCGCTCCCTGTTAAATATAACTCCACGCCATCAGTACTTTATAGAACAAATTATTTTCTTCTGCCACCTTTACACCGAAGCCTGTCCGTGTTTTTCACACACACACACACACACATCCCTTTCCTTATGATTTATTCATGGTGTCATAGGACCACGCAGCATTTCTCTCTCTTCTGCGCTGGTTTGTGTGTGAGGAACATAATGCATTTGTCACTGTTATAAAACCTATACCTGACCATGACCTGCAGCTCCTCCAGTTTTCTCCCCTCGTCGTTGGCCTGGAGGCTCCTAACCATCACACACCGTCCAAAGTCTGTGGACGGCGTTATTTTACTCTGCTTTTGTCACTGCACGGCCTTGGCTCAACACTTCCACCGGAGTCGAGATAAAGACAAGGAGTGTGTGTGTGTGTGTGTGTGAGAAAGCGTGTGTTTGGTCTGTCTGTTGCGCTTCTGTGTTCACACTCAACAATGTCACAGCGTTCATTTTATCTGAGGTTGTTTTTTGTTTTTTTTCTTCCGTTCATTTTATCTGAGGTTGTTTTTTTTTTTTTCTCTGCCCCAGTGACAGCGTCGATGCCTTCAAAGGTACATATAGAGTGGGTTAAGCCCATGTGGGCCTCTGTGGTCTATAGGCTGCAAAGTAAATGCCTCTTACTGTAATGGACAGTCACAGAACATTACTTAGCGCGTCGAACGGCCACAAGGCCAGTCTGGGATGTAAATAACGGCGGCTTCTGTAATAAAAGGCAGCTAAAGATAATGCATGGACGCCACCGCAACTCACTTAACCCCTGAACGCAGGAGTTAAAGGTCCGCTCGGCAACACTGGAGCACGGCTGATTGTTGTAGTTGTGCCCACAAACTTAAGTGACTGAGATGACAAATGCCATTAACGTGACACGGCTGTTCTTACTGGACGTTAATGAAAACAGAAATGTTGCATAAGGTTCATGTCAAGGAGGAAGTTGGCTTAGAATTCAAATTTAAAAATACCAAAAATATAATACCAAAAATACCAGACACGCAGTGTCTGGTATTTTTTATTTATATTATGACCCTCCAAAAATATGGCTTTTTTTTTTGTCCAAAACAATTGTAAAAACTGTTGACAAGACATATAAGTTGTCAATGGAAGACGAGTGTTGACTGGAGACATGTCCTTTGTTTGTTTAAGAACTTTGTTGTTTATATAAAGACGGCAGGAGCTGAGGTGACGCTGTGTGAGAGGCAGGGTTCATCATGTTCTGGTCACAGGGCCAACACAGAGGAACAAATAACCGTCCTGTCATGTTAGACTCTCTGATTAGCCTAATTCCTAATCTGCATGTGTTTAAACTGGAGAGTAGCCAACATCCTGGAAAGTAAAAACACACACCCTCGCAGGAATTAAAAACAGGTCAAACCAGGGATCCAAACCAGAGACCTCGCTGCTCCGAGGCATCGCAGACGACCTGCTGGAACCTTTGCCAACTGCCATCGACTCCTCGCTTTCTTTAAACATGTAAATAACAGCCATAAACAGGCTATGTTTGTTTAGCTTAATTAGCAAATGTCGTGGCTGCGCTAACTGAAGAAGACATGCGATGCAGTTATCACCTACTCTGCATGAATCACATGAGAACTGGTCCTGAGTTTCAGAGTCCAACTGTGTTTGGAAGAAAAACTTCAGTTCATCTAAACCTAAAGGTTTCTACTGGAAACTCCTGATCGACAAATTGATCTGGAACACTGATAATATTGACAGCCACACCGTGTTACGTTAAGACTCAGCACTCGAGAGACGTCGATCAGGTACAAGGAAGTTTAAGTT